TTCGAATAGTAGTTAACTACACACAGATGCAAAGCCAGGAACTTAAAATTTGCAACTAATAAATTAATTAATTGAACTTAGACATTTTCAAAGAAGTAATCAGTATCACAGCCATTAGTTTAACACAACGAATCAAAAATATTTGTATCGATACACAAGATATTCAAAATGAGATATTAATACTTATTTCAAGTTCTTAAAAATAATTTTGTTCCAGATAAATTAATTAATTTTTGTCTCAAATAAGCAAGCTTTAAATACTCAGTTTAAATCTGTTGACTAATGGGGTTATGGTAATTTATTTCTAAAACTGTAAAAGGCGGAATAAGTTGGATGTCTGTTAGTTAAGCATTTGTAAATTTTGTAATTAATTTTTGTATGTAATGTAAATTACAAGTTTTTACTGACATTCTATTCTTTTATTAACTAAGCCTATTTCATATTTTTCAGTCTAGTAGGATACCTTCTTTTTATATTTTTTAGACCATTAGCCAGAAATAAATTAATTTCTTCTGCTTGATAAAAATTTATTTTATTAAGGAACTAGCCTTTAATGACAATTTTAACTAAACAATAAAGTTCTGTCACCAACTTTATGGCTACAATATCTCAAATAGAGTATAACACCAAACACTACCTTCTCCCACTAAATACAACAACCGTATTACGTTTCATCTCTGAGTACATTTACAGTTACAGCCATTTTGTTTCACATTTTGCAAGCAAGTAAGTTAATTTTAATTTCCTTTCTGGTATTGATTTGTACCTAAATTTGTATTTAAATCCCTACTTTTGATTTTGCGTTTAAATCTAATAGAATGTACATATTTCTATCGCTTTCAAATATCTTCTTTTGTGCATATTTCAATTATTTTATATTAATTTATACAGGTATCAATAGTCTTTTATTGTTTTTACTATACTGAGAGAGTGGCGGGGAATATTTTTTCTAAAGTAAGGATCTCACTCAATTAAATTTTTAACAAGTACCTTAAATTAAAATGAAAATTTACACATTTTGTTTATGGCAAGCATTTTGACTCAATCAGGGTAATTAGTTTTCTCATTTTTGACTTTTTTTCGTAGCTTATGGTTTAACTCTAGCAAGATAACTAATTGATCATTACTTGGAAAAAATTAGACATTCTCACTAAATTTGGTTATTGTTTATTGATAGTGGATTGGTCTGTTACCTTTGACAAGTCAATTAATCTACCCTCAATAACAATAGCTACTTTTCAATTACTTTAAATTTTACTATTTAATATTTTTACGACTAAAAGTAATATTTCTATACAACTTATTAAAATATTTTTATGACAATAGAGATCTAAATAACTTATACTTAAAATACTGACTTAAATTTATTCCAATAATTCATTGCATTAATTAAATTTAAATTCCTTGGAGATGATATATAAAAACACTTTTCTAATATATATACATGTAATAGTTTCTGTAGTAGAACGCAGGTGGTTGTATCCACAATGAACAGCTAGAATTTTGATGCCGATGCACATTGAATAAAAAATTTGGCAGTCAAGGTATATTTAATCCAACTTTTATTTCAGTAAACATGTTGTGGCCACAATCAGGTTAGTACATTTATTGTGCCTATTTGAAAAAGTTTACATTTTTGATAACTTTGTAGTAAGAGAGCAGCAGCAGCAGACAAACAGCAGTGCAGCTAGGCCAAAGCGTTGAAAGCAAGTGCGTTATGTTCAGAGTGAAATCTTAATTCAGACTGAGTTAGTTTTGGTTCTCAATGCGTTTTTTATTGGATGGTTAGTATTACTGTAAAATTACTATTGGCTGTTTGAGTTTTAGTATTTAAGATTCCTATGACATAGATTTTTCTCGAAATGACGCATTGCAAATAGAAGTTACTATTTTTAGAATACAGAAGGGAATTAATTTTCTCTAATTTAATCTTTTACATATTAATTATTTTCTTACATATTCTCCTTCAAAAGAAAGGTTGGGACAGCAGGGCGGGAGAAAAAACATTAGAAAGAAAGCATTAACATACGAGAGATAATTTTAAAAATACAAAATCCTGAAATTTTGAGCAAAATAATTATTTTCATAAGTGCAAAATATAAACTTTGATAAGATTTTAGAGTCCTATTAAAAGTTTTCAGTCCAAAAGTCTTTGAGTTTTAGAGTCCATGTAATTATATTTCTTCAGAGAAGTCTTTGTACACAATATCACAGTTGTAAAAATTTTGCACACACATTACGTATTTTGAACAATCACAAATTTCATAATGTTTAAAACATAATTAATTTTCTGTATTATAACTTATATTTTAACATCATAAATTTTATAATAGTATTACTAATATTATGGTTTTTACTGTCTTTGTAACATTGCCAATTTTCTTATTTTACACAAAACCAGAAGACCCCTATAGCATTCTCTAATTCAAACATTTCCAGCTATTTGGGCATCACCACTTTAACTAACTCATGTACTGAATTTTCATGAATAGTTAAAGGTTGCTTCTGGCAGTGGCTTATAAAGGCCTCCGTTCTTTGTTTAAAGGCAACTGGCCTTTTGAACTGCACTATACATTCCACTTATAAAAAAGTTAACAAACTCCATTTATATAAAAATACTAAAAAGAGAATAAATGTAAGAAAGAGTATGATGAGGGAATGCTGGATCAAAACAGAGGCCCTGTTACCTCTGTTATTTGTTCTTTTACCCTTCTCATATCAGAAGATATAAACTTTGAAGGCTTCCACCTTATAATTTTTTCATATAATTAATATGTAAAAGATTAAATTAGAGAAAATTAATTCCCTTCTGTATTCTAAAAATAGTAACTTCTATTTGCACCGCGTCATTTCGAGAAAAATCTATATCATATGAATCTTACATACTAAAACTCAAACAGCCAAGAGTAATTTTACGGTAATATTACCATCCAATAAAAGTGCATTGAAAACCAAACCTAATTCAGTATGAATTAAGACTTCACACTGAACATAACGCACTCGCTTTCAAGGCTTTGGCCTAGCTGCACTGCTGTGTGTCTGCTGCTTTCTTACTACAAAGTTATCAAAAATGTAAACTTTTTCAAATAGAAATTAAAACAAAATTAAACAAAACGAAATTAAGAACTCCTTAGCTCTCATTAGACTCTAGTCTATATTTGAGAGGCAATACAGAATGATACGTACATTTTTGCCTTCCTTGTTTCATTGGCGAAACTAAAAAACTTTGGCAAGAAATTAATCGCTCAAAAGGCTAAAATCTTGTACGCAAATGTAATTTTTGAAACCAAAAGATGTTCTAAACAGGTTTTTGAACTACATCTTAATTCATTGGATTTTCTGTTTAAAGATTAACATTTAAATTTAAAAAAATAAAAAAAAATCAATTTTTTTTTTCACTTTCGTTTTCAATTCTTTTAAAGGGATATAATTCTCTTTATTTAAGATTCTTCTAATGTTTCTCATTAGAATTTATTTCCCCTTTGCTTTGGGGAAGGGCCAGAATTTTCGAGTGAACTATTATACTTATAATATAAATACACTGAAATGGTTCATTGGCTAATTCCGGATACAGAAAAGCAAGGATTTTTGTAGAAGAGAGATTTCAATTAATTTCAAAATTCCTCCCCCTGATGAAGTGACATTGAGATTGATTGAATTCCTCTTCTGTTTTTGTTCATTTTTGTTAAGTTTCATAATTTTTGAGGAGGGGTTTTGCTTGTTTGAAATGTTTTGGTTTTAACATTTTCAAATTTATTGTTGCATTTCTATCATTATTCGAAATTTATTAATTATGAATTTCAATTTCTGGTCTTTGTGAAACATTAGTTCTAAATTTCTTACATTATGTCTTTAATGACAATTTTTCTGCAGCGCGAAAATAACTAGGCATGTTTGTGTTTTGTTTTCAAAAGAATTGATTTGTAATTATATATATATATACATACATACATATATTTTATATAATAAAATGACTATTTTAGGCGGCTAGCTGAGGAAGCGGCTAGTTATTAAATAGTGAAGAATCTGTATGTATGTACATACGTGTTCTTCGTAATGCCTAGAAGCACTAAATTTTGAATATACGCATTCCTCTACTCGAATAAGTGCACCTCGAAGCACGAATTTTTAATTTCGAAAATGTATTTTTTCCGTGTTTTATGCAAACTTAACAAAATTTGATTGACAAACTTCGCGATTTAAAAGCAATGTGTGGCGAGTCGGTAAAGCGTAGCATAGTGATGCTTTAAATGTAATTAGAAAAGTCAGGGATTTAAAAGAAATACATTGCCAGTCGACAGGGCGTAAGATTTCTCATCGATTTTTACTAGAATTCGAGTATTCGATTTTTACTATTACTTACAGAATGTTTTACTATTTCAAATTTGCTCGACAGATTAATCGATTTAAAAGAAATAGGTTGCACTACTCGAAATAAAATGTATTTTCTTCCAGGTGCCAATATATTGTTATTCAGCAAAGCGTAAGTGTTATTTAAATTTTCTTTTAAATTTAATTGATCTATTATTGATTAGTAAACTAATAGAACTAAAAGCAATAAAAAAGTTCTTCATCTGTATTATTACTAATAATTTACTAGCTGAACCCGTGAAAATTCACGTGACTAGCTGGACTCATTATAACCATTATATAGCTTTTATTTCTTACAATAACCCTTTTAGGCTGCTAGCCGCTCAGGGATAATAATTAGTTAATCAACTAATATGAAAAAACCATAATATAAAAATATAAAAAAAATAAATAAAAATTTAAGTGCATATTCTGAAAAATTACGTTATTTACTATGTTTGGTGGGAAAAAAAAGATGGGAGGAGAAATACTTTCAAGTGAGAAATAATGCACATTTATTGTTTCGTAATGCTGTTTGCTAAGAGAGAAACACACTTACAGGGTAAAAAAAAAAAAAAAAAAATCAACCACACAAGTTATTTCTATTTACGGGGTTCGTCTTTGCTACGTAGGAGCGCGCGGCCAAAGTTGGCGCGGCAGTCTGAATTACTTCCTCTTCAAAAAGTGAATATAAATTAGTTTGAGCTGAACCCTGTAATCTCAAATAAATTTTATTGTTCTACTGCAAATCGCCTAGCAGGAAAATACAAGTATGGTTCTGATGAATCATCGTATGTGAAAATTTACAGTACTTTTTATCAACGATTAAGAAATATCTTATCGGAAGAAGCTTGGAGATATTGTTTATCAGTCCCAGAAACAGACAGCTTCAACGAGCTAAGTCAAACATGCTGCTTTTGCTTCTTTCCGCTTGTTTTTTGGGGTTCATAACATTACTTATTCTTTTTTTGAAATATGTTGATGCAGATTTGACACTTTACTATTATGATTACTTGGATGATGTGTCAGGTAAGCGTTAAAATCTATTTCGAATTTTCAGAATTAAAATTTCGCGGTGTCTCAGATGAAGTATGCGAAGGAAGTTAAGAAATCTGTTTAAAGAATTCAAATGCTGATGAAATTATGCTCACAGTAAAATGAATGCGCTTTCGGTATAAAGCATGTTCCGCTGTGTTTCGTAATAGGATATTTATTTTTCTAATTGTTTCCGTAAGTACTTGCGATTAATTTTGGTTTAAATAAATCATCCAATTTTATGTATGGAATGTCACTTACAAGTTTATTTAATATACATTATATAAAGTACTTGATTATTTTGTTACAAAAAGTAAAATAAAGCAGGAGCGTAGCCAGCTCTGAAACTGGGAGGGAAGGTGCCCATTTGTTAGAACCGTTTTATACCAAAACAGGCACATTTTTTACGTAATGGAATACTTGATTTAAATTGCAAAAAAATTAACATTTCTGCCTAATTTTTAAACTTCAATTACTTTATTACTTTTAATTAAATTAATTAAAAGTTTTTAAAAATTTTGTGTTTTTGATACCTAGAATTATCTCTTTTAATATAAGTGTTTGCATTGTATAGGCATCCTTCGAACTAATGCTCTCGTTATCTGAGAGCAGACTGTGTAAACACATTTTATGATTTTAATACCACGTAAATTTTATTTGCACTAAATGCTTTATCTAAACACAGAAGGAAATTCGAATAAATATAAAAAGCTAAAATTTTAAGAAATTTTAAGCTTATTATTTTAGTTTACAGCATGACCTAATTTTTGTTATTTCAACCTACATAGAACTTCATACTCCTCTTTAGAAACCTGACAACAAATTGTTATTATAGACCCCATAGCTGTCTGATTATTGTTTATTAAAATGAAAGAATGATGAATTAAATTTACGTTTAATTAATTACACATTACTTTTATTATACCCAAAAGGGATATTTGTCCTGAATGGGATCTCAGTCTCGAAACGGCATTTTGAGTTGAATCGCAATAAACGGCGTATCACTTTTCAAATTGTTGCCACCAAGTATTATCGCTCTATATTATACTTAAAGACGTTAAATAATGAAGAATCATCATGAATGTATGTATGTTTCTCGCAATGTGAAAAATCAACTGTACCTAGAGACATCAAGTTTTAAATAACGTATTCCTCCCCTCGAACATAAGCACCTGGAAGCTCGAATTTGTTATTATCTAGTTCCTATTTTGGAGAATTCTAACGAAGTTTTGATTAGCAAACTCAATGATTTCAAAGTGAGCAGTGACAACACTAGTATGGAATAAAACATTTTTACTTGCAACGCGCGAGACTGTCCATCGAAATTCCTAAAGATATGCTGCTTTTAAACATTTTGGGATTTAGCTGTTGAATCGAAATTTATGTGGCGTAAGCGCCAAGAACGTGATACTTAATAAGATAAACACACGAAACGTTAATAATAAAAATCAACTTTTTTTTTTTTTTTATATAAAGCTATCTGAGAGAAGAAAACGGAACATTGATATGACGAACTGAGATAAGACGGGGTAAAAAATGTGTTATGCCAACATTTAATGCTGCATCGGAAATTCTAAACGTATACTGCTATGCTGCTTTTAAAATTTTTGCAATTTTGCTATTGAATCGTATATGGCTATTGAATTGTATACAGCGCGAAGAAAATGATGCTTATTAATAAAGCTAAAAAGATAGATTAAAAAAGTGGGTTAGTAGGAGTGAGCCAGCAGACTGCTAGACTGCGAGCTCAGCGACAGCGTAAAGAATCTTAACAAACCTTTCTGGGAGACCTTCAAAATCTGAAACTTTAAAATCAAGGAAATATGGTGTACCTCTAATTAATTAGACCCGAACTATTTGGTTTACATTTAATTTTACACATGAATCAAATACCATAACATATGAAATTAGGCAAAAGAGCAACCATGCATATAACCATGCTTATAAGGAAAATCCTGAAAACCTTTTCGCAGCCAGCCCCGAACTACCGATGGATTTAGCCATTCAGCTACTGGCCAGTCTAAAGAAGACATCCAAGTACAACCCATGCATCATTTCTTCATGATTAACGCTAATTCGTGGTAGTAATTGTCAAAATTTTATGAATGAGGTTAGATTAATAAGTAGTTTACAAAAAAAAAATAAGCTAGTTTATGATGACAAAGAAGTGAGACATATCTTTCGAAAGGCGTAGAAAATTTCTTTAAAATAAATTTCACTCTAAGATACAATTTGGATAATTTTAAGGTTCGTGTGTTTGACTCATTTGTTATTTGCTAATGCGACTTGGAAGTTATCCATTGACTTGTGAAAGACTACTTTGGTAGAATATACTTTGGTGAATGTCGAAATTGTGAATTCAACTGCATATTTAGTGTGAATTTTCTTTTGAATCTTCAGTTGCATTAAAAGTACTAATCTAATAACATATTAAATGTAATTTTTGAGCATGAATTATAATAATAGACAAGAAACAATGCATTTACAACTCTCCTTGATTAAATTAATTATCCATTTTTCAATAGAAATCTATGCCTATCTTTTAAAACAAAACGAAACAAAGACAATAGGAATAATTATTCATCAAATGACTAAATTTTCAGGATACAAGGACCCTACGAATGACCAAGTGGTTAACACGCTGAATACTGGTAGTTTGACCCGATTTGGGGATTCATGATTGGTTTTCTTGGTTGACCAATTTGTAACTACAAGCCTGTTTCCTCTAGAAAGCATTCCTTACCTTAAGCAGGCAGACCTTGTGCGTTTTCCCATGTTCAAATAATATAACATAAATTAGGTAATGGAAAGTTAATAGAAAGTTTTGAATACCTAAAAATAATGAATGTGAATATGTTTTCCTGACCAGGGGCTTTCAACCAGAGGAGAATGTGGCCAGCCTGTCAGGTATTTAGTTTTATTTATGAATATAAAAGCTACTTTTATTCAAGTTTTAATATCTATTAACACTTTCTGTATTTTTCTTGTTTAATACATGAAACACATTCAAATAATCTAAATTTAAAATAAATGTATATCTAATTTTCGAGTTTTGGATTCGGGGGATGTTAGTCTAGCAACAGAAAAGGGATGCTTGGATCAAAAAAAAAAAAAGATTTAGAACCTCTGTTCTAGATGCTAAGCATCGAGGACTAAAAAAACATTTTTTTCCTTCCCTCTCCAAGTTTGGATATTTTGGCCACAAAGAATTTATGCATTGTTTGCTTTTAGTTCTCATATCAGTTTTTCTGACTAGGAATAATGGCGTTGAGCTTTACGTGAAATCCTAGCTAATTGGTAGAAATTGTGTTCAAACTGAAACATTTTCTCTCATTTATGCCAACGTTTTAAAACTGTTACTGATTTAAAAAAAAATAATTTTATGCATCATAATTTTTTGTTAAATTGCTTTATTTTTTGCCTTCATTCGGCGACGTGAGGGGGAGTGTGCCTAGAAGCCCAAGACACCCTTCTGGCTAAGTGCCTGTTAAGGAAAATATAATTGCTACCTGGAAATTCAAACTATAGTCTTACATTTCAAAGAGTTTACAGTTAAAAAAATTTTGAATAAAGAGCATAAAAGATATAAGCTTAAAAAGAAACTACAATTTAATCCTGGCATTTGGATTTCAATTTAACGCCTGAAACAATTTTAAGCTAAGCATTTACAATAAGGTTCAACAGAAATTAAAGACATAGAACATAAATTCTTATATTTAAAATACTGGTAGACAGTATTCAGTGGTTTTATCGTTTGATTGCTGGTCCCCCTTAGAAAGAAAGATATCACTTGCGTGTTTTGACGTAATTCAAGTAATCTAATCTACTCTAATCCTTATCAATATCCTAGCTTCGCAAATTTATCTATTCCAAAGCTTTTTCCTGTTCTTTTTCTTTAAATAAGTTTCTTTAAGATTAAACTTTGAGTTAAATAAGTTGAGGTAAAGTTTCAAACAATGCATTCTATGTAAATGCCTAGGTCCTTGATTGATTTATCATAATTAACGTTAAGTTTTGCTGTATGAAATTAAATATCAATCTATCCGTGAAAATCTGGAAACTATAATTTAGTTTTTGTTTTTTAAAATATCAGTTAAATGGAACTGAATTGCTAATTTGAGAATTTTATTTTTATTTTTTAAATTTTTGTTGTAGATATTTCGTTTCTCTGATTTTAATTTAGAGTATTAATTTTTTTAAAATTAAAATAACGTATAAACGCCATTGTACAATTCGATCTGTATATATTTATTACAGATCGTCTGTACGTATTTATTACAGATATTTATAAGCCTATAGCCCTTATGGGCTGTCATTCGTTTAGTTACATATTATGCCTTGTTCGGCCTCGGAATCTTCAAATAAGTTACCTTTAGGAGGAAGAATTTTGGGTACTTTTCCGTTTCGCTGGCCCAAATCTCGCCAAGCAGACTTTATTGGCGACAACGTATATATAAAAATATTAAAAAATGTTAGTTCTAAGAATTTTTTATTTTGAAGGCATAAGCCAATAAAAGAAGACAATAAATTTATAAAACGACATTAATTTAAGAATTTACTATGCTATCATGGTTCAACATCCTGATTCGCCAGTTCGTATCACATCTTATCTCACGTAAACTACGCTACAAAAATCTAATTCTCTCGGTAATTTATCTACATTAATTTCAAGTTAAATCTTAATTTGGAATACAAGTTTAAATGCAGAATTATTTCAATTTGTTCGGATAGCTTATTCAGAAATTATGTAAAACTGCAGTGCTTTTCTACGCTAGTGCATTCTCATCAGAATTGAAGAATTTAACCCGTGACTTTGCCTTTTCTATATTTTCGACTTCGGGTAAGCGGTGTTATTGCATCCTTGACTTAATTACCACGAATGGCCTTAGGGCATAAAATTGAACTACCTGGTAAAAATTATATGTAATTGTAGTATTGAAAGAAAAGATTCAGTGGTGCCGAGAACGATTACTAGACGGCACGATTACGATAACAGCGGTGCACGATTACATGTCAATTGGAATGTGTCTGACTGGGGCAATATCATGTTTACTGATGAGTCAAGATTTGCTCTGGAGCCAGATGACAAGCGTATAAGGATATGGCGTGAACAACGAACACGCAATCAGTCCCAAAACATCACCGAACATCACGCATTTCGAGGCGGAAGCATTATGGTGTGGGCAGGGATTTCATTAGGATACCGCACCGACCTGCACATCTTTAAACGGGGTTCTTTGACGGCTGTCCGGTATCGAGATGAAGTTCTAGAACCCATTGTGAGATTGTACGCTGCAGCAGTTGGCCCTACTTTTGTTTTAATAGACGATAACGCACATCCCCATAGAGCTGACATCGTCAATGACTACCTGTAAAGTGAAGGGATTGCGCATATGGCGTGGCCAGCATATTCGCCCAACCTTAATCAAATTGAAAATCTTTGGGATGCTCTCGGCGTGCTGTATCTTCACGTTTCACACCTCCAGCCACTCTTATTGAGCTGGAAACTGCTCTACAAGAAGAATGGCGATTGCTTGATTCTGCGGTGGTTGACCACTTAGTTGAAACCGTGGTCAGAAGGTGTAAACTTTGTATACAGATGAGTGGGGATCACATACCTTATTAATGTCCTTTGTTTTTCATTTTATGATGTTTATTTTCACTTTATACGTAATTCTGTTTACGTTTCCAGTATGTCATTATCTGATAACTTAACAAAATTTAATATTGTTTTCATTTCTGTATACAGTGGTACCTCGACATACGAGTTTAATTCGTTCCGTAACCTTGCTCGTATGTCAAATTGCTCGTATCTCAAAGCAATTTTCCCCATTGAAATTAATTGAAATGCCGTTAATCCGTTCCAGCTCCCAAAACACCACCTCAGTTGTTTTTGTTAAGTGTTTTTGAATAAGAAAAATGTATTTACAAGAAGAAACATTTATTTATAAATAACAAATGCATATTCTATAAAAACATAATTAAAAGAAAAAGTGAGGTGCTTAATTTTTGTCACTAGTCTTTGCTTTTTTCGTCACGCTTTGTTCATTTTCACCTGCAGATCGCATAAAAAAACTGTTCAAGGAGGATTGTTTCTTCCTTCCTTTCAAGATATTGCGGAAATGAGTTAGGCAAGTTTCGTTGAACAACTCCGATGCACGACCAGTTGCAACTTTTTCGCGGTGATTTTTATCCACGAACTCTAAAACTTTCTCCCACATTCCCAAGATCTCCTTTATATCTCCTGTAGGGATACTCTCCTCCATCTCTGGCTCCTCTTCAAAACTAATTTTTCGTTGAACCACCGGATGCTGCTAATGTAGATCGTATAACTCCTCGGTTGTCAGCTCCTGAGACTCTTCCTCGACGAGTTCGTTCACATCAATCTCATCCATCTCCAGACCCATGGATTTTCCCAGAGAAACAATCTCCTCTACCACTGACACTTCGGGTTCCAATCCTTCGAAGGCCCTTTCAGCTACAGCCTCAGGCCACAGCTTCTTTCTTCATGCAAAGGTTAAAGCCTATTAGGTTGTTTAGGTAGAAACTGTTAGATGCTGCACACCTCTTTGCTGCACACGACGCCAAAATGCGCGTGCATGTTGCGGTCGTGTGCAGCGGTGTAGTGTGCGATTCCTCGTATTGGAAATCTTGCTCTCATCTCAAAGCAAAATATCGCTCGCTCGGCGGTTCGTATCTCAAAACACTCGTATATCGAGGTACGACTGTATAATTATTGATTTCGTTTTATGCATAAATATATATGCTACTTTTCTGCCGAATTTTGTATCAATGAAAGCAGTATTTGTTGATTGTTTTGCATTTTGCATCTTCGTGCTTAACTTTTGGAAGTGAGTGTAGCTTTTAGCTCACACTTTATAGCTAGCTGTAAAATAGCTGCACTAGTTTCGAAACGGGATTTTGATGCATTTGATTAAATGCGTTATTTCACTATTCATTACTTGAGACTGTTGCCATTTGGCAAAATCTAATATATTTATCTATCAGATTGAATTTGTCTGTTTTTAATTAACAGTCTAAGCCATTTAGAAACGAAAGATGCAAGTTCTTAAGAATTTTTTTGCTTTTCATCTGATTGATTTAATTAAAAATGCTTTTAATTCACAATATATCTGATTAAAACATTAAATATTTTGGTACTATTCGGTTTCGAGGGCCGTACAAAATCGCCAAACTTTTGTTGATGCCAATGCTGCCAAAAGTAATTGCGGCAACCCTAACGCAAGAAAGGAAGTATAATAGTAAATAACTATCTAATATTGATGTTTTAATTTAGATGAAAGTTTAAGTTGATATAATATTTCGCTACCAAAGTTATCGCTAAAGCATAATTGTCATCTTCGTTGGTTGTTTCAAACATAATTTTCTATAATGAATGATGGCCTTCTTCTTTGAAAACATTCTCGGTAAAGTGCAGAATCGCCCACTTGTTTGCCGCTTTTTACAAGGGAAAAAAACAATTGGATTTTTGTCAATTTTCTTTTACTTTTTAAGTGACAATAGGATGATGTGTGCATAGATAAAGTCAAGGGTGTGCGCAGTGCCATTTTTGTGCAATTCTGGGATTTTTTTTTAAGTGAAAATAAGTCGATGTGCACATGGATACCGAGTATTTGCAATTCTTAAAAACGCGTCAAGCAGTGGGTGATTCTGCACTTTACCCATAATTCTATCGCAGACTTTTCATCATGGGCAATTCCCAAATTATTAAATCCATAGGTTATCAAAAAAGGAATTAAAAATTAAACTAGTATTTCAATGGCGTGTTAAGAAATATAGAACTATATAAACTTATGCAATCTGAAATCAGCGCGTTCGCTAGATTTGGCACGCTGTTAAATGGGCGTGTTTGCTAGATTTGGCGCTTTCGCGCATACATTTTCGCTGGAATTTTTTTACGGCCCTCAAAACCGAATAGTACCAATATTTTTATAGAATTAAGTTACATATTTTATCAATTATACAGAAAATATAGATATTTATATATACCATTGCAATGTTCATCTAAGTGTATAGTCATATAGTATCCTATGAAATGTTTCGATATTCCGTCTCGGGCATTTCTGTTGAAAATCTCCATTAATAAACCGTAGAAAAATTTTAAAAGAGCCTTTTCAAGCCATTATTAAATTTGAAGTTAAACTTTGAAGTCTTTCTATTTTTTAAAAAAATTCTCTTGATTTTAATTACAATTTTTTTCTATTAGTACATGGGATTTTTTACACTATTTTATTGCATTATTAGCAGAGGTTGAAAAGAAATTGTTTTTGCAGATCGATTACGGAATAAAGTCATTTGGATCACTGGAGCTTCTAGTGGCCTAGGGGAATATTTGGCGTATGAACTGGCCAAACATGGCAATAAACTCATCCTTTCTGGAACGAATAAAGAGAGATTAGAATCTGTGAAGGCTAAATGCAGTGGTGAGTAAAATCTTTCTATTAGTATGTGTTACTGCAATCGTTTTTATGGTGTTATAGCAATCTTTATCGAAAAACAAGATTATTTTACAGCATTTTGATACTGAAAACTTCGACAAAAGAGGGATATAGGCGTTTTCTCCTTTTGGACAATCGTTTTCATTTACATGTTTCTTTGATATTTTTCAGTCATACCCATAATCCATACATTCGATAAGTTGTCTGTTCTTCTGAACTAGACTTAAATGCTTGGCTAAACTGATTTAATTAGTGTTATAGCGCTGAATTTAGACACTGTATTCTGCTTTAAAATACCTGCTGAATTTTAAAACAGCAATGCTTAAAAAAATGGTTACAATATTTTTCAAGTGAGATTTATTCGAATCATAAATAAATTATTTACTGGAATTTGAATAAACACATTTATTTATTTTTAGCATAATAAAAATTGGAGAGTTTGATTAAAACTACATTTTTTTTTTAATGCCAATTTTTTTACGAGGTTTTATTTGAAAATTTCTGTCTACAACGATGGTTATAACACCATCGTTCAACCATGATGGCTATGAAAGTACTCTTCGTTTCCACTCGAGTTTTTAAAATACATTAAAATAAATGTAAGTGTTAAATTAATTTCTCAATTACTTCCATAAAATAAAAATAAATCTTTTTTAAAATTTTGCTAAGATGCAGGAACAAATAATCTGGTAAATGTAATATGGCAGTATAAGAAACTTTAACTATTCTAAAAATAAATCGTAGTTGCATAAAACAAACTGCGATATATACTGTGATATATTATTGTTTCTGGCATTGTGATAAACTCGTAATTTATTAGTATCTGCTATGGCGCTGTTCGCGGCCGAGCCGTAAAAACGCTAAATTCTGCCATTTCGATCTGAGCCTCAAATCCCAGTCAACGGGCTGGTTGCATGGGCGCATTGAGGTTTTCCTTATGTGTAAGGTGGATGCGAGCTAGTTTTCCTTAGAAGGACGAAGGCATCCCTTTAGGCAGAGAGTCCTCAAGTGCTTTGCCATAATAAAATAAACTATACAAAACATTTCTATCTCTCTTTTTAATTTTAAATCTAATTAAGCTAAAATGGAGTAACAAGTGAATAACATTATAAACTTCCAAAATGCTGATTCAAATGTTTTAATGCAATTTTAAAGTAAGAAGAGCATTTTTGTAATATTGAAACATAAATGACATAACAGCTTTGAAAGTTACTTACGTTTAATTTTACAGGGTTTGAGCATAACCTTGATTTTTAATCGATTTTCGTCTAAAACAAAAGTAAGACTAATAGAAAGCCTTTTTCTACTACCTATAATTTCCATTCAATGAATTTGTTGAGTAATCTTGCAATTACTTGTTTAATGAAAGAATAGTAACTGATTCTTTCGAAATTCAAAGCAAAATCAGAACAAGGCCCACTATAAACGTTTCTATAAAATAGGCACTCCAAGGCTGTTGCTATCACTTCCCACTAGTGATCGTAACTTGTGTCGTCGTCACCGCAAGCATTTATTTTATTCGTCTCATTTGAGACTGCTTGTTCGAGTCGACCTTTATTCGCGAGAATTTCGTGAAGAGAAATAAGCTAAAGGAAAATGAAGTGGAAGAAAAAAGTTAGTCGACTCAAAATCTGTGTTCCAGATATCATTTCTATGATTATAAGGTAAATCGGGTGGCGGAAAATAATACAATTTCCTGGTTTTAAAGTAACAAGAGTTTTTCGGACCTCGTCATATATGCTACAAGTGCTTATTAATGAATATTAAATCTTTTTCAGTTAACTAATAAATAATATGAATTTCATTGCATTATTTTCTGAGTTATCGAGAGGAAATAAAATTACGCATCTATCAGAATGATTATGATTATTTAAAGTAAACCTAATTTACTCCGTAAAGAGCAATGTAATATCAGTCTGATTTATTTTGCAAAGTATCAGAATGAAATATCATAATGTAACATGAGAAATGAATATCATAAAGTGTAATATTAAACTTCTCCCTTGTAAGATTTCAAATAGTTAATTTTACTTAATTTTATGAAAAAAATATATTCAACATTTTGTTTAATTAAAAAGTGGATGTTATTCGAATCTCAAGACAAAACTGGTTTATTTAAATTCTTAAATATCTTACTTTCTTTTTAGAGATTGGGTTACCGGAAGATGATATTCTCGTCTTACCCTTCAATATGACAGATTATGATGTCCATGAAGAATGTTTTAAAAAAGTTCTGCAAAAATTCGAAAAAGTATGTGCTATTTACTATTTATTATCATTGGAATTTACACATTATCTCGTCGAACCGTGAAACTGTTTCCAGCACGATTTTGCGCTAATAATGTGTAAGCGTAAAAGTAACAATAATCTGTGAGTTCATTCGATGTAGTCTCTGTTCATTTTTGATAAGCTATGCTTTTTTATGATCAAGGATATGAATTACCTGTTATTCTACACTTTGTTTCGTGCATTTTGAAAAAAAGAAAAAAAAAAAAAGGTACAAACTTGGGATTTGTCTTCTACAGAGCAGAAGGCAATGTATTATTTTCAAAGTTATGAGATCTTATCATAAAAATGTGTGTATCAAAAGACGATATGGCTGACAAAACAGTCCCGGATTGAAACAATTAACTACAGAAAATTTGTACTCATAACGTTCTAAATAGAGTTTTCGGTAAAATCAGAAAGCCTAACGAAATAGTAAAATTTACGAAAGACCAAACGGGTTGAGTACTGATTGTTTATTAAATAAAGAGGCGTCACTTTCTTCAGAATTCTGCAAAAACGATTGACGCAACCTTGGTGGGATATCTGTCTTCTAACTTTCATGGTTTGATTGTAGCGAATTTTTATGTCGACGGGATAATATTTAAATACCTTATTATCTAATAAAAGACCTTACCAAATTACATTCATCAGATGTAGGATTTTTGAAAAAGTAACATTACATTTTATGAAAACGTATATGATTTTTTTTATTTCAGTTGGATGTTCTGGTGAATAACGCAGGTCGTTCGCAAAGGGCGAATTTTGAGGACATCGATATCTCAGTCGACAAGGAACTGTTCAACATAAACGTATTTGCTACCCTAAACTTAACGCGTAAAGTTCTTCCTCATTTCCTGGAAAATAAGAGTGGTCATTTTGTCGTTACGAGCAGTTGCGTAGGAAAAATGGGTAAGTTTATTCTGTATGCTGTAATATATTCTGTTATCAAATTGTCTTTCATGATCGCCCGGACTGTATAGTGGTCAGGAGAGCCTACTCTGGTGCCAAAGGGCCCAGGTTCGAATCCCGGAGGACACATGGTTGTAACTGTTCGTCTTTTCAAAGGAGGAAACGCTGGCCGCCTGTTAGGTGCCTCCACGATAAAATGGATACTGATTCTGGCCTTAAGAGTGTCCAATACTGGCGAATTAAGTGGATACAATTGTATTTCATGTAGAAAATACTGTGATTAAGAACTTTATAAGAAATTTTATTGAGTAGATAGTCTTTAAGCTGGGGCGTAGACAGGATCGGAGGTAGGGGGTGCAAACGATCTTAAACCGAGAAAACGAAACTGATTTGACCCGAATTCGTCAATGGTAGAGTAGACACAATTGCTGAGCACCAATAATTCAATTTGAAAGCGAATTAATTGGTTGGTTTCATGAGTGTTTTGTGTTTTTATTTCCTCGTGAATTATAAATTGAATATGAGCCAGTTTACCTCAGAAAATTCTTCTCTAAGACAGCTTTCCTTCAGGATAGCAGTCACATGCTTTGCTAACAGTCGAATAAACAAGCAAACAAATAACGGAACGGAAATACATGAGTTTAAACAGATCGTAGAAATATGATGAGACAGGAATATAGAGACTTGTGAACATTTTTTACTTGGTCCTTAATTTATATTACAACAATTTTTCTGCTATCTGAACTAAAATCGGTCTAAAATTTCTTTTTCTATTTCTGTTCTTGTTTTTTGAACAAGCAAGCTTTCGATAAGCACTTAACATACACAGTCCATTTAAGCGATTCTCTGCCATTGTAGAGCGCAACCAAGTTTTTACTCTGCGAAGCGAGCTCTCAATAGTACTAACCTAAACGAGTACTAATAGTACTAATCTAAACGAGCTCTCAATAGTACACATACTTCATGGTTGAGGCAAAAATATAAGAACAGCAAGTTTCGTGTCTGGGGAAAAAATTGTCGCTTCTTTTACCAAACCTTCCATAGTTAACTCCTTCATGTCGTTAATCTCTAGTTTCTTCATTTTCCAGAAATTATACTAGAGCTCTCTCTCACTATCAAAATTTTTCAAATGGTAAAAATCGCGAAAGCATTCTCTTTTTTAGTAGATTCTTACATTGGCATCTTTAGCATAGCCACAGGATGTAATAAGAACAAGGAAAATGCTGGTAAATTATTGCTGGAAAATCTTTCTTCCAGTGATAGTGTTAAGAAATCCAGATAAGGGATAATAAGAGACAATTTCCAGAATTCATCGGTTGTAGATACTGGAGGATTTGAGCGATGTTTTTGCAGTTTTACAATTCTCGGTGCTTGTAATTCAGTGCCAATGCTCTCAGCCTGAACTTGCAAAAGACAGAATTTCCTGGTATAAAACATCTATTGCTCTACGTTCTTTTACAAGCATTAAAATTCTGTTTATGTGTAATTATGTACCCACCCCCAGAGTACCAGAGTACTAAATACTATTATACTTAGGCCGGGCAAAGAAGGAATGTTTGTTTATAGGAAACTCTTGGAATTACAACTAGACATTCGTTAATTATTTATATCGTTTAAGGTGAATGTGAGCAAAAGAATGTCTGGATACTAGGTGGTCCTTATTTATATGACCGACTGTGAAAATCTTTGGAGCAGGCAAAAGATTTAAGCCGTTCGGCTAAGAGATTCTACAGAAGACTTAAAGAATAATATGAGAAACAGAGAAAATTTTCGCTAACTTGTTAGTGGAAATAAAAAAAGAGTTGCATTCGTTTAGGAAAGTGCAGGTGCACCTCCCTGGCTACGCCCATGTCCTTAAGTATCTTATTGTAATTAAGACACAATAACACGCAGAATAAATACTATTTCAGAAGTAAAACAACAAAAATCAGCGTTATATTTCCAAAATTTTCACAGGACTAGTTTCGATGGTTTTACCGAACCACCATCCTCAGCTGCAAAACCGCAAATGAAATGCATTGCGGTTTTGCAGCTGAGGATGGTGTTAAAAGTCTGAATTAATTTTTTAAAATTTATTTCCTATTTTCTCGGAATGTAATGCATTTTTACTTCCTTGTACGAAATAAAAAGGAAGTATTGTAATCGCGAAAAGTTTCAGGCAGCATATTTCAACGAAAATATCCATTTTGACCGCTATCGAATGCGATTTAACGATGTTTTTGCGTGATATCTGTACGTAAGGACAGAATAAAATACTCTTTTCCTTCAAAAAAATTATAAAACTGCTTTAAAATGAATTCTGAAGAGAATTTTTCGTTGCGTCTGTACCAACGTATGTACATACGTATCTCGTATAACTCAAAAATGAGTAGCCTCAGAACGTTGAAATTTTGTATATAGGACTGCTATAACATGTAGATGTGCACCTCGTATTTTGGTTGCAATCGGCAGCACCAAACGTATATAAATATATTTATATATATATCTACTCTGTTACCCGGCTCAGTGATCTCAGTTTCTTTGCTCTTACATGTTTGTAAATTGTACATTTTTTGTTTTAAAAATGATTGAATTATGTTGTTCTTATCTTCCGGTTAAGGTTTTTATGCCTTTAGTAAATCTCTATGCAATATTTTTGGAATTATCAACAATTTTAAAGGTGTTTAAGTCCGCTAAGCCTAATATTTTTCTTGATGGCGGCCATTGTTTGTTTACATTTGAAACAGCAGGATAGTGGATTTGTTGCCAATCTAGAGAAACTTAGCTTCGCAACAACAAAGATAAGGCCTTCATTTATTATTGCGAATTAAATCATGCTTAATCCTTTCTGGAATTTTTTCGAGGAAATAAGTGTTTAAGATTTACTTTATAATTTTTAATACAGATATTTTGAGTTTTTTTTGTATTTTTGCCTTGTCGCGAAGTGAGAACTGAATTAATTGAATGAGAAATACTCAATCGTCTGTGAAAAAACTGTTTCTTTTTTATTTTGTTTCCTTAATTTCTTTCATGCATCGTTCTAGCTGTATTATAGTATTTGAATAGAACATGTGGCAACGATTAGATAATTCTTTAAATGATGTAAATTTTGTGCATTCTGAGTTATAATATGAACGAAATATAATAATACTGTTAAGTGAACCTAGCGCCAGAATGTCGCTATGATAAACAAGTAGAATGAATTTTAAAGAATACATTTATTCTACTGTGGTTTATGCGGTGTCGGCGAAGTAGATTTAATTCAATCCAATACGTTCAAATAAAATGCAAGAAAAAATGCGTATAATTTAATATTCCGTACAAGGAAGTCATCTGTTGCACACATCAGACTTTTTATTAATAAATTCAGCCAAGTTTTTATTTCCAACATGCGGGACTGTTGCCATTCGGTAAAATGTAAGCTATTAATCTTTAGTTAAGTTTAATCAACAAACTACGCTATTTAAAAACGATGTGCTATCACTGGTTGAATAAAATACTGACTTTCCACTTGCCGTCGTGTTACCATTCACTAAAGTGTACGATATTTAACTTTCATATTTAATCTCTCTAATATTCAGTAACAAACCAAGCGCATTCTTAATATTTTATGTACTTTTTACTGCGATTGATTTAAATAAAAGTGTATTCATATCGTGAGATATCTAAGTGGAAAGCCAGATTCGTTGACGTATTATATAGTACTTTTTCTTTTTTTATGATAACTATTTTAGCGGCTGACCGCGCAAGCAACTAATATTTTAAAAAGTAACCAAAAAAAATCTGAAAGCTTTTGAAATTGTTGAGTTTCTTAATCAAAAATTCGTTAAGGTTTTGTAAAATATGAAATAGATCATAAAACAAATTCTAAATTCCTATTACGGGCTTCCAAATGCCCATATTCGGGGGGAGGACTGCGTTATTCAAATTTTTATGGCTTTAGGTGCCATTGTTTCTTCACAGTGCGAGAAACATATATGCATTCATGCAGATTCTTCATTATTTAATTTCTTTAAATATAATACAGGGCGATAATATTTGGTGGCAACAATTTGAGAAGCGAAATGGACATTTATAGCGAACCGACGCAGATCGCCTTTTCGAGATTAATAGTCCTTCTGCGCTAACGCTTCTTTTGGCTAAAAAAATTTTTAAAAAAAACATCAAATTATGTTAAACAAGTATAGTCAAACATGTTTCAGTATTGTTCTCCTAGTCTTAAATTCGTTAATGAATGCCACTAAAATTGCATAATAGGATATTTCGATTAAACTTGCGCAAAGTTATTTGTTTTTGGTGTTATGAAATTTAACTTAATATTTTTATGACGTACTGTAAGATTAGATTATATACAAATGTTATTTAGATTTCCTGTTTCCTTCAGTATGAATTTTAATTTAATTTTAATTTTACAATAATTAAAAAAATGGTTGTATCATTTTTGTGTACTCTGTATTTTCAAAGCACAAAGGCATAAAATGCTGATTAAGCGTATAATTATTGTATATCAGTGATCTTATATTTTATGTAAGCGAGAGACACGCATTCATTAAATAACCTAATTTACATTTTCTTTTAAAATTATTTTATATTTTTATTTTATTTATAATAATGCTAACTACTTGATTACAATCATGATTAGAATCACGTATCGTTTACCCATTTTGATACTATAGCTTGTATAGATGGAATACGTTGTGTTCTACCTGTAAAGAAATGTATACTGGAAAAATTCGAAAGTGCATAAAATTTGATATTTGTCTTTTTTTAGCTTTATATTGCTGTCTTAATAATTTCAACTGAGTAGTTCAAAATCATATTTAATCACTTTCACTCTGTATTTTTAAGGAGCCGCTTCTTCAGCATCCTATACCGCTTCCAAACATGCATTACATGTAAGTATGTATTTTCATATAAGTTCAACTGGAGTTTTATTTTAAATATCATAGAAAACTTGGGCTTAGTTGTTAGCTGGTTAAGACCTCTCTGAAACGATGAAAGTCATTCAGTTTTCTATAGGACTATGGCTTATGTCGATTGCAACGACAATCATAAGTAACAAATAAATAATAAGTTATAATAAAAAATAAGAAATGTAAGTAATAATAAAATATAAGAACTGGAGATGTGCGTTTGGGTTAAGTAATAAGCACAACGGACTGTACCTGAAAAATTAAAATTTTATAGCGAGGCATTGTTCCCTAAGTAAATTCCACTTGTTGCTTTAACTTCTTACCCTGAGCAAATACAGTCATCGTACTGACTCATTCTTGCCGCGAGAGCATACGTAGATAAAATGGTGGAGGCTTTATTACATACATTACGTAACAAGAACTGTGGAGTAGTGTACGTTAGTGTTATTCTGAGTTACTCAAGCAGAAAATGGGTTTAAAAAATGGAAAATTAAAGACGCTTTAAACAGAATATACACTAAAAATATTCATTTGACTTGAGTAAAAGTTGTTAACCCAGGCAATGAATGTTTTTCGACGATTCGAATGGGGAAAAGAGTATAAAAATGAAATATTTTTAGCTACTAAAGTGAAATTCGCTCAGTGGCAGTTTATCATAATGACATGTGTTACTTTCCGCTTGTACGGGCCCAAGGTATCGAGCAGTAGTTCTTAGATACTAGGCATTTCCGTGCATTCGTGTTTTCTTGTGCTGCTTAAAATGCTTCAAATTTTTAAAAGAATTATTTCAAAACAAAATTTAGGAGCTATAGAAAAAAAAATAATAATTAGACAGCTATACTTCTGATGGGTGGTAGGGAAAAAAGACTCTGCTGTCATCTGATTTATGTATATGGAGGAATTGGTGAGGAGATTCTGATAAAATTCTGCATATTTGTGTTACAAGGTATTTCTTCCGCCTTCTTGGCATACCTTCGTGGTGTGGTAGTCTGCACGCTGGGCGCGTATTCCAGAGGTCCGTGGTTCGATTCACTGCGAGAGCGTTGCTCATTTTTCAATTTCTCTAGCTTCCAAAAAAATCCTATTGTCTCTACAGTGGTGCCCGAACTAAAAGGGTTGTGGATGATGATTCCCCTCACCCAGGATTTGGCGATTGGGTCTCCTGAAAACCCCAGTCGCCCCTTAAAAGAGGAAGTATATAAGGTATTTCTACCGCTTTCTCAGCATGCCTTCGTGGTGTGGTGGTAGGTCCGTGGTTCGACTCCCGGCGAAGGCGTTGCTCATTTTTCAATCTCTCTTGCTTCTAAACAAAATCCTAATGTCTCTACAGTGTGATCAAACGGAAGAAAGTATTTATACAAAGTGATATTTTTTTTTTTCTTCCATTCAAGTTTCCTTGCTTTTGTACTGGTAGCAATTATCATTGTGCTTTCGAAGTGTTTAGTGTTTCTTTTTGAACAAAATTTCTGTATTTAAGTTTAAAAGGAAGAGGCAGAAATTCTGTAAAACAAGAACGAGTTCCTGCATTCATGCGGCCTGGATGGGCAAAGAAAATGCAAACGAAGATACCCCATTGTTATGGAACTTTATATCCTTATACAGGCCCTTGTTATTAAAAGTTATTAATTACTTCGTAGTGTTAAAATAACTGAAGAAGCTGCAAGTACAGATATTGAAGCTGCTAAAACTCTCCTTGAGAAGTTTTGAAAATGTCCGTAACATAGTGATTATTTGATAAATAGAATCAAATTGCATAGTGATTATTTCAATACTCTTAATTTTAATAAGCATAAAACAAAATTTTATGAGAGGAAAGTCTCCCAAATCTTTCTTACTGTTAAAGTGAAGTAACTAGACGTCTTGTACTTTAATGCTGTATACCGCGTCAAAATTTGTCCAAAAAATGTCCCGAATCATAATTAGTCGACACGACTATTATTAGAATTACTACCTACTATCATGGCGACACTTTTGTGGTATTAGAAAGTTATTCAGTAATCAAATAATGTGAGTTCCAGAATGTAAGATTTAGCTAACTTGTTACGTCTACAAAAGAATTATATTCATATAGCAATTTTTATTATATGAATTCAGATTTCATTTTGTAAATGGGAAAATGGGCAGAACGATTAAATTATCTAGCAAATTTTAAATGGAGCACATCTGAGAAATACTATAGAATGAGAAACTATGGAGAAAAGTTTAACTTTTAAAAGAAAATATTTTGATGAAGATAACATGCAGTTAAATAATATGTTACACAAGCTGTATAGTAACTGTTAAATGAAACAATTGTTCGGCTATAAGACTGAAATTTAGCTAAATGGATTGACATTTTTCTCATTGGCAGACGTTCGCTTGTTGAGTAAAGTCTGTGAATGAATAGAAAATCTGTGTTCCTAGCACGCTTCCAACAAAACTTCTCTCTGAACTATAAAGGATGCCACTCCGTTTTTAAGAATCAAATTTCATTCGCTTAGTAAAATAAATCGGTTCTTTTAATCAGCTCCAGAGCAAATCGTCCAACTCTCTATCTCGAAGTAAAGGTAAACAAAATCCCACATATTCTGAATTTTGGGTGGAAGATCCACCCATCTTTTTTTAAAGCCACATATCAGTGGAGTGAAATAAAGAGAGTTGACTTCAACGTTACGCTATATTTATTTTGCTATAAACTGCATATAAGAAAATTGTTGTGTGTTAAAATAATACTTGATTTTTAAACTTTTTACTGTAAACTCTTTCAAATAATCGTCAGTTTTCTTTCCTGTATTGAAAGGGATATTTTGAAACTCTTCGAACAGAAATGAGTGATAAGAATTTAGATGTCACAATCCTTTGTCCAGGACCTGTATTTTCAAGATTTTTAGAAAATGCCTTCACTGGAGCTCCAGGACAAGTAAGTATATCACGTTTAGTGAAATACACTTGTACGGGGCAAAATTGAGAGAATTTGCACATTATGCCGAATCTCGCAAAAACTAATTGACATTAATAAATGAAATTTGTTATGAATACATTTGTGACAGAGAAAGTGAACCATTCAAAAGTCATTTTAAGTATGCACGATTATCAGTAAAGCTCACAGTGCAGGGATGTTTAAAATCCACGTTGTGATATGGAACTGAAAATGAATCTGATATGGGGTATCGTCCCCTCTCACAGTCAGACAGGTCGCACAGCGTGACGACATACTGGACAGGAGGCAGTTGAGGAGTCCTTAAAGCAGTCGATCTCACTCCATCAAGGCAGTTTTCAACTCAGGGATGATTTGTGGATTGGGATGGCGAGATGAAATTGCCTTCCAAGAGTGATCCAGACATGTTCTGCAGAAGTTGAACATAGGGCTCTAAGATTTCCTCTGTATACCTCATATCAGTCTGGGAGTCTTTGTGAAACATGTGAGAAGGTGTGCGGCCGTCCAACGAAGTGCCTGCTCAAGTCATCACAGTAATGATCCTTATCCCGAATGAGGAAGGGATGGTATCGTGTGACAAGCTCTCCCCAGTACAGGTACGTCAAGAATTAATGTCCAGGCTGAACCTGGACTCATCTGTAAAAAGTACGGTGGTCCACTGAAATCTGACCCAAGGCATATGTTGTCTGCACCAAGGCTCCGTTTTCTGTACTTCTTCAAATGCGCTCTCTTCTGTACTGCAGTGAGAGGAACGCAAAGAGCAGGTCTTCTGGCATACAGAATTGTCACATGAAGCCCTCGGGCAACTGTAGGAAACTCTAATTCTAGTGGCAGGATACAGCTCACGTGAGAGCTGTGAAGCTGTAGCAGTTCTAAGTCGCGACCCTGAAAGTGTCAAGTAACAATCCTCATTCTTCGTTGTGGATGTTGATCGGCTTTTGCCAATTCTTCCCGATATGGATCCAATGTCCTGAAACTGTTTCCACCAACTGCAGACAACACTGGGCGTTACACGGAGCTTTTTAACCACCTACACTTTTGATTGGCCTGCTTCCAATTTGCCCACAATTTTCTATCTCATTCAGTCATCCATATTTTCGTGGTCACTCATTTTACCTGATATCTCATAAAATGTACCCAACTGTTGCAAGAAACACGTTGAATGTCGTGAAGGAGTACGAGCACACAAATCGCCGAAAATCTCTCATGCGCATATATCCTCTCCACATCCACAGCTCCGCAGACACGCACGTGTACGCTTACGTATTCGATACTGAATATTTTCATAATTCTTCGGAGGCATAATTAGTACCTTTGGTTCAATACGTTTCCCAAAATTAGACAGAATTTTCAAATTCTCTTAATTTTGATCAAAATTGTAGTTCCTTATTTAATAATTAATCGTTTTAAAAATAAAGCAATCGTTGTAAAAATAATTAATTGTTGTAATCTAAAGCACTTATAAATCATTGCATGATGATAACACTGCAGACTTGTGTTTCCTGACTGGAAAAATAATAAACTTATGTATATCCCTCTTTCTAAGCTTTTTAATATTATATTTCTCTGAAATCTCTTAATACGCTTTTGTAAAAGAAGTGAATTAATGACTTTTAGTAGTTAGCAATATAAGTTTGTAAAAATTCTACTAACTGCTATACGTGACATTATTTGCAAATTTCCAGATTTTTAAAGCTTAAGTTTCTTTCTTAATATTTTCAGTAAGTATTTAATAGTTAATACAAAAATTTGAAATACAGAGGTTTCTTCTTGTGCTCAGAAATTATTTGAAAATTCACTTAATTTTTATAATCAAGGAACGTATGTCTGCAATTTCATTGTATAATTGTTTTCTCAGTTCTGCACAGTTGTAGTTTGACCTCGACAATCACGACAATCATTTTTACAGCGTTCAAAGAGAAAGGAGGAAGAAAATTACTTTTAAATAATATAAGATCATTACTGATAATTACCTTTTTGATTACACTGTCTTTAATTTTATGCATGTATTTATGTGTTCATTTATTGTTCATTTATTGTATTCATTTATTGTATTCATTTATTATTCATTTATTGTTCATTTATTGTATTTATGTGTTTATGTGTTCATTTATATATTGGTAAAAACTTTAATATTTTCAAAATTTAATTTTGTTATATATACATAATTTTCTGATAAATGTAAACTATTAGTGACTTATAATTGTTAATGTAAATATTATATTTTAGTGTATAATTTTCATATTATGTTATCATTACAATGAATTCTAGTTTAATAACTGTTATAATTAATTATAATAATTTTACGATAATAAGTAATTATTATAATTATACCATTTTTCATAATTATTATATATCTTTCATTTTTGAGCTAAAATGCATGTAAATTATTACATAATTAAAAAAAGAAATTTCTCCCTAATTAGTTATAATAACTATACGGCAATAAATTATTATAGTTATTTAATTAGTTATAATAATTGTCCTGTAATAAAAATTTATTATATTTCTTTTGGATTTTAACGTTAAAATCTGTATGCATTATTTCACGTATTGAAAAATAATTATTTTAGAATAAAGAATGAAAATATTCTGTATAAAAGATCACAAGATTAGCAAATGTCACGTTAAATCAGTATGTGAGGAGATTCGAATCAAATAGGGTGAAAAACCTGTTGATTATTTTTTTAAATTACAAAAAGAATACTTCCGCTAAAAAATATAGTTCCGTTATTTTTATTATCTTATTTTTAAAATCCACAAGATTGTTAGAACTGAAAGATGCCATAAAACTTGAAATTTTAAAAATTGCTCCTGCGATGTCACGTTCGTCATTGTTATCAATAATCTCTCGCAGGCAATGCATTGTGTCCTGCGAAGGTGGGCAAGTTGAAAACATGTAATTCAATAAAAGTTTTTTTTTCTCCCTTTGTTCTTTATAATGCTTGGTAATTTACAATGCCCTTGAAAATGTTTTACGCTGGCAATTTTCGTGTATCGTTTCAACGCCATTTATGGTTTTTTAATGCGCTGATCAATCTGCGTAGGAAAAAAGTGGGTGATGGAATTCAAAAATTTTGAAATTTAAGGACCATCATCAAAATAATCCAAACCAAACGGAACAATGAATCCGATTTCATAACAATATTCAGTTTCAGAGTTCTTAACATTATAATAGTGAGTGAGTTTTTAAGGAATATTTTGCAGACCGACTGATGTCGATATTCTTTTTTTCACGTAAAGATAATATTTGTTATTTACGGCTACTTTCTTTCAGAAATTTGGTAAACCCACACTCTCTACCGACAGAAGAATGCCAACGGATCGTTGTGGCAGGTTGATGGCCGTAGCCATAGCTCATAAAGTCGATGAAGCTTGGATATGCATTCAGCCATGTCTGATTTTCTACTACCTAGCTCAATATACACCTACATTTTTTAGAAAGTAAGTATAAATAAAAGTACAGTGGTACCTCGGTATACGTTAGCTTTGATATTCTTTCAATTTTGTATAAGTTCTCTTTGGACGCGAACATTTTTATTCGGTATGCGACATTTGTTTGTAATACGACTTGAGTTAGGTGAGTCACTACACTTCTTCCCCTCTTTCGAGATAGTGCTACGACCCTCCATGTATACCTATTCAGTAAACAGACCTCGCTATAACGCTGAATTTTTAAGTTATTTTGTGTTTTTTCGCGTAATTTTTCTAAATTTATTAACAATTAGTTTTAGGAAATGAGACTTGTCAAGCAATGTACAAAACTGAAAAGTGTGAAGATGGCATGTGAAACCGAGGCTTGGATACTGCGTATCGTGTACAGAGTACAATGTCTACAATTGTGAAACTTAAATACACTGTTAAATCGGCTAACGTTGCCAAGGGAGTCAAATCGATTACCAAAAAAGGTTAGAGAAGTTAGAGCACGTTTAAAAATTACTTTTGATATGTATAGCAGAAAAGCTTTTATAAACAGTGCTTCATTTATGTACAGTGTATATTTAATGCACTGCATTTGTATTTTAACAATAAACAGTGATATAATCATAATGAGAATTTTCATAGGGACGGATATATTATTTTCCCTTTATTTCTTATTGGAAAAGTTCGTTTGGTATGCGTTCAAAGCTCTGGAACGGACTAGTTACGTATGACGTGTTACCACTGTTAACTACTAAATAAATCTGGAAACATTTCTTTCTTCTATAATAATTAAATAAATATTTTCCAAAACGTGTCGCAAAATTTTTAGAGCTTTGTTTCTACACCAAGGTTTAAGGTTTACAAATGTTTATCGAATAATGTTTAAAAAAATAATGAAATGTATTATAAATCTTAAATGGAGTGTTTAACTTGTAGGGTTTATATTTATTTTAACTAACATTTATTTTAAGTTTAAACTATCTTTCCTGTCAAGCCTTACTTTCCCCTGGAATTGCCAATGCCAGAGTATGTAAATTTTAGTAGAACGCGCAAGGATTCAAATTGGCATCGGAAGTAATCTGAGTTAAATAGAAGGGAAACGAGTTCGAAAGTGTGCTTTCTTGCTTCACGAGCGTGGAGGTGGCTAGTTAGAAATTGAAGAACCACGCGTTACGGCCTGTGTGCTTGCCTCGGCAAATAGTCGAATCTTTCAACGTAATATTCAGAAGTTTGCTGAATTATCAGCGGTATCTCAGAACGCGGTTAGGTTAGTTACGTTTAGAGAGCCTCGTAGTTTAGTCACTTGTTATTATTTCTTTTTAGTTTCTTATTTTTATTTTACCGCCGGGTCTGCGTAGTTTGTGAGCGTCAAGAACACGCATCTGTAATTTCTAAAGTTGAATAAAAAGGGATTTAAACCCTTCTCAAGACTTTGTATACTTTCCAGTTCATAGCAGTCACCACTATTGTTGCATGCAGGTTGGAAGCGCGCAACATTACAAACTATTATTTGTGTTACTACACACAGTTTATTTCTTGTAATGGGTTGCATTTCCGTTGTGATTTTAACAAATTTCTTTTCTTGTAAGTCTTTAAAACTGTTTTGAAGCCAAGTCTAACTAAAAATGTCAAGCAGTTAAAAACAATGCAATGGTTTCCTCAAAGTTATAAAATATTAAACTTAATCAAAATTATTTTATCTATTTTGATTTGTAATTCATATAACAGTACCTGAGATAGAAATACTTTTAATTATTATTATTTTCCAATGGCAGATTATGAACAATTAGAAATGCAACCCAGTCCATTAATCTATACAAGGCTAGATGTGGTGGTCTCTCACCTAAGGTGGACCACCATCGCCTTTCCTATGAAGGGACGGACTGTTACAGTCATGCCTTCTCTGGGATTCGAACCCAATCGCAGTCAGCTTCCCTGACCACCATACCGATTGGGCAACTATTATTATTTATATTAATATTTATCTTGGAACATGAATCCACTATTCTGTGGAAATTAAGTGATTGCAAAAGAAATTTAGTTTGATTTGTGCAACATTCTTGAATTTAGTGTTATTTTATAACTGTAAATGCATGCTTTTAATTAAGTATTGAAAATTTACTTTCTAATTGTATTTCAGGATTATTATAGGAAAGCTATATACTGCAGACCGTGCTGAAAAATTGAGGGAAGGCAGATGGTGATATTGGTATTTCACGAGTTTTTCTGCAATTGTTCTCTCAAACACAAGGACTGCCACTAATGATTTTTTGTACGAGGAATGAATAAGAGAAATTGTTAAAATTCAGAGAGATTTTTTGTAAAAATATTTTTTTTTTATTAAATAAATCAATTTTTATGGAAAATTTATTCAGAATAAGTTTGAAAATATATTGTTGTTGTTATATATGTCTTTACTGGAAATATATTTTGTATTTGGTATCACACTACATCGCAAAGCACTCGAATACACCGAATTAAATTATTTCCGCCTATCCGAGTATACACAGTCATGAACTTTTTTCAGATATGAATACAACAGAACATATTCCTTAAAATTTTGTGTTGAAAATGAACGAAGAGAATGGACGAAGTTGAGTTTAAAATAAAGAATAAAAAATTGGTGGAAAAATACCTCTTTCTGAATTTTTATTGGTGCATTAAGGGGTTAAAGGTTACTGAACGAAATGAATAATGCTTCGGCCGTGGTTCCTTTGCTTGAGAAGTTACAAAGGAAAAATGAATAGCTTAGGCATTTAATAATGGTGTAGAGTAGAACTTGAAGGATTTGCCCAGTAATAGATGATTTCCTGAAATTCATAATAAAAAATAATTTGCACTTTATATATAGGCAAACCATGAATGTCCCATGCAAACAAATTGTTTTTAATCTTCAATAGCTGCAGCCTCCATGAAATGGGCATTTTCAAAGCCTAAAACGGAAGCTAGGTTAAGATAGGTTATTTGAATATGTCAAAACCACAAGCACTATCCGTCTAACAGAAGGGGTGCCTTCATGGATGACTTTCTAAAAGAAGCTGGCTTGTATTCAGGTTGCATATGTGGAAAACCACGAAAACGCCCATGCAGCCAGCCCGCTCGCCAGGAATCGAATCTAGATCGAACTACTACTGTTCACGGATTTTACCTAAAATCAAGGATGCTCAATAAAAGAAACTACATTTTTACATAGCAAAAATATTTAGCTGGGTTTCCCTGTTTGCTTGTTAGGGTAAGATCTTGAAATTATATCTCACAGAAATTGCGCAGATATACGTATTTGTGATTACAATTCAGAATTGCAAAGAGAATATTTTCAGAATCCAGTTAAATACCATTTTTATGTAGTGCCAAATTTTTCTCGCATATTCTTTTTAAAAACAAAATTAAGAATGGAAGGACTGATATTTACGCTATTGGACAGAGTGAGAAATAATCTTTAAACGGCTTCCTTTTTTGGAGACTCTTATTTGATTTACCGAATTTCGGCAATTTTTCAGAAAGTATTTTATTTTTTAGCTATTTTATGGCTGCTAAAAATGTTGGAATCATAAATCCAAGTATTCAGTTTGCTACCCACGATTTTAATTCATAACGAGATAGGTTTTCGAAATGAAACAGAAATTTATCTGTAAACCTAAAATACTGATTAGAAAAAGTAATTTCTCTCACTCTCCACAGAGTTTTACGAACTTTTGTACAATTTTTATATTTCGTGTAAAAATAGTTATCTTTTCTCCTGCATGCCAACAATAAACTTAGTACTAGTATGAAAATAAAGGAAGATCTCAGACTTAGTTAGGCCCACCAGCGGCCGAGCGGTAAAGTCGCTGAACACTGGTAGTTCGGTCCGAGGTTCGAATCCCGCGAACGGGCTGGCTGCATGGGTGTTTTCGTGGTTTTCCCCATGTGTAACGTGTATACGAGCCAGTTTCCCTTAGAAAGTCCTCCCCGAAGGCATCCTTCCCCTTAGGCAGATAGCCCTAGTGTGCTTTGCCATAATTAAATACACACACACACACACACAGACTTAGTTACCTCTGTGGAACACGGTTTTTCCGTGCACTCAATGTACTAAAGTCGCAAACCCTATATTCGGCGATGGTTACTGTAGTGTGTTTTTGTTGTTACAGCGTATACTTGTTCATCAAAGCGAATGTACATATGCTTTGCTGACATTAAACAATTATTTATCTTCATAATGAATAATGTCACTTATAAAACTATCGTACAGAAGTAATAGTTTGTAATTATTATAAACCAAGTATGCTACTGACTTCCTCTTGTGAATTGGCATTTGCATCATATAATTTCAGAAATTATGGTAAAATTCTGTAAATAGTTTATATATCCCTGAGCCCTGTGCAAGAACTTGCATTTAGGTCCCTTAATATTTTAGGTTTGGGAAAATAATGAAACATATATTAAAACAGATCGTACGACATTTAATGTTAATTAACTAGTTATTATGATTTTAATCTTAACTATAACTTACTTTCCGTATTCCTCACCACCATGCCAATTAGCTTTGAGTTAAATTAAACTGAAGATTTTGAATTTTAATTGAGAGAGCTTCTGGCAATTACGTTTCATGGTTGTATATTTCCTCCATCTCAGCCTAAAACTCATATCTCCGGCTTAAGCATTCTCGCTAGCCGAATGCTTTAAACTGCGCGCCGGTAAAATACTTTGAGCCAGTTATTTCTCATTCTGTATTATAGGTAGTCTTAGACTACATAATGAGTACTGAGTTTGAATTTAAGTGTCTGTTATTATTAAATAACCATAAGTGGGGGTTCTTCTATGTACCCAAGTCGTAGCTTTATATTCTGTTTAGACTTAAAAAAATATTTTAAACCTTCTTCAATTTTTATTAGTACATAAGACTTAGCAATAACTTACTGTCTTCGCTAGTAGGTTCTGCAAGATTTTATTTCCAGCTCCCAGTTATAATAAGAACTCTACAAAATTTTTAATAAGATTTATTTTAATTCCATTTTTTTGGCTTTGATTTCGGCAAATTCATTAATTATAACAACATAATTAATATTTTAATGATATTGTATTCTATTGATGTAATAGAGATCGATAATCGTTCTTGTACGATAGTTGATCTTAAAATATTTGTTATTAATTTCGAAACTGCTTTCGCATGAAGCAAAAAAGAGGGGAAAATTAGAAATATTCGAAGAGAGGCAATGATATTTTGGTACTACTCAATTAAACTGAAATCATGAATAACTTGTGGGATATTAAGAATTGCAGTTTCTATGTTTTATATAAAATTACTTCAAACTTAAAATTTTGATTTCGGATGCAAGTTCGTGATTTATTGAATTTATATTATTTTAATTTCATAAATTTTAGAGGTTTAATTTCGCATGGGATTTTTTTAATCTTTGCTACATTTAATAACGAGATCTGCAGCCGATTTTTTAAAAATCAACAACGATCGTGTATTGTGAAGAAAAGCCATATAGAAAGCAAAAATCGTCACAGATATTTTTCACTTTTTCATAACATCAATCTATTTGGAGCATCAGAGTATCAAGAACCCTGTAAATTTGTATTTTAAATAATTGTTGGGGAGTTAAGTCCACCAGCGGCAAAATCACTTAACATTTGTAGATCCGACCTGGGTTCGATATCAAGTGAACAGGCTCAATGCACGAGTGTTTTCGTAGTTTTCATCATGTAAATATATCTATAGGAGTCAGTTCCAATTAGAAAGTCCTCCACAAAGGTATCCTTTCCCATAGGCAGATTGCCCTAGTGTCATTTGCTATAATCAACTAAACCATTCTTCGGGTGTCAAACTTACTTCTTCCGGTATTTCAACTATTTCCATCACCTTAACTCTTCTCTTTCGCTTATTAAGAAATCCCTTCTTTATACCCACTTCTTCGGACACATTTTGTACCTTCTGGAAATTTTGTTCAAAAACTGTATCACGAAGGCCTTTGTAATGTAGTATTACGTAATCCAGCAATTTTGTTCCCCAATATATTGACAAACCTTTTTGTTGTTATTCTTTATTTGTTCGATCGATGCACTGCAAAATTTTATTCCATCAGAAAGAGTACAGATAAATCTATAATTAATTTGAAGAATCAAACATTTTGCTCTCGATACAGCTTCCGGTTTTGAAAAATCTTTTTCAGTCGCTTGCAGTCCTTTTAATTACTTCAGGTAATTCTAAATACAGCTCCTCTATAGCACTGGCCTTTGTATGACTACTTTATATCAGAAAAACTATTTCCATTATCTTAATTCTGAAATTATATCTTAACTCTGATATCACATATATCTTGTGAAGCAATAACGTTTTTATTGGCTCCTTGAATTTTTTTTTTCTGAGAATAGTCCTTCATTGAAGGGGTAGATCTAAAATGTAGTGCTGTATCATCAGCTTGTGAAGCAGCAGTAGATCGGACCTCTTTTACATTTCCTCATTTAATCTGGTGTTTCTGTTCTTAATTATTAAGCAAATTTTTGCGACATTGACTAGCATTCTTCTAATTTTCATTTTCTTATATTTCTCTTCTGGGCACCCAAAAATTACTTAAGACATTTTTAAACTGGTAGTAAACATAAATACTGTTTTTAGCATGTTGCCTGTATAAGTATAAAACTGTGATAAGATACTGTAAATGCATACTTATTTATAGAACTAATGCAAGCACCTGTGAATGATGCCCTGTCAATCACATGACGCCCGCTTAAGGGAGGCACGTGACGCCTCCCTTAAATGGATGCCCTCTTGTACCATACTTAAATGTTTTTTTCAACCAAACATACAGAAACGTACAACCATTTTACAGAAAAAAATAAAACTAAAAATTCGTTGCATATTTGAAATTAATTATTAAAATTCTACTATAAAACTTAAATGGTGGATTAAAAAGTATACTGAACGAAATAGTCTAATTAATCCAATACATAAAAACTTATTGCAAAAATCTCTTCGCTATACAACTGCGAATGAACGGCTAAACGAAAGAAAAATGAAAAGACCAAAATGTGATCTGTGAATAGAAAGCGTACTGACAGATGGAACGAGATCCAGACAACTGAAAAGAAAACGTTCCAGATATAAAGGAAGGTTACAAGGATCCGGCAGATCCAGGGAACAACTAAATGATCAGCGACGACCAGTGGAAAGCCAACATACGAGGAATCAGATGCAGATAGAGTTTTGCAGCGACGGGAAAGTGTACGATTAGGTTAGGTAGGTGTAAGTACAGGGGTCACCAATTACATAAACTGAGGAAGTAGGTAAAGGCCCCAAGATTAAAATCGCCTTCCTGAGACCCACGCTGCCGTTCTGTTGCCAGGGTGCTACTGTTGTTTGTGGCAATCGACATTGCAAGCTCTGCCACCGTTG